TGGGGGTGGGAGGGGGGAGAACAAGGGAATCCATGGCTGATATGTAAAATTAAATTTAATAAATAAATTTAAATATGATAATAAAAAAAGAAAAATAAAACATAAGTTTGGAAAACTTATTTCTAGTTCCCAGAGGAAGTGAGGGATTAGACAGGAATGACTACCAAATAGATTGGCAATGGAAGAAGTTTTTCTGTTTTGACATTTTTGTCTTATTTATTTCTTGTTTGTTTGTCCTAATTTTCAGTTTTGTGGTTTTGTGCTGCTGTTATTTTGTTTGTTTTTTTGTGGTCGGTATGTGGGAGTGGCATAGGGAGAGGGAAAGGAAGAGAGAGAAGGGCAGGGACAGGGAGAGGGAGAGAGAGATCATAAAATTGGTTAGATAGGGTGAGGGGAGGTCCTGGGAGGGTCTGAGGAATGGGAAAAACATGATAAAAAATATTGTATGAAAGATTAATTAAAAATATGGCATGATATCAGAAACTACACATATAATGTCTAATGGAAGTGACTGAGCAAATGGGAGGTGAACAGAGAATCCAGCAATGATCATACCAACTGGATGGGGAATAGCACACTAGGCCTCCTTCCTGCACAAAGAACTAGAGACAACAGAGGAAAGCTGGAGAAGCAGAGGTGGCTTACGCAGGGAAGAGCACAGTGTTTGGTTGTTTAATCCCAAACTACCAGCTCTGTAAACTTGCACACAAGTAACATTACATGTACTGAGAAGATTATATTTAGGAATATATATGCATATCTTTCTACTCATATGCATGCATTAGCAATTAGTGAAAAAAGAGGCCATGAATTTGAAGGTGAGAAGGGAGAGTTTGGAGAAATTAAAAGGCAAGGAATTTAGTTAAATTATCGTGACAAAAATTTAAAAAACAGAATTTTATCTAGAGAGAGCTGGTGGTTGCATAATATTGAACTGTAATAATTACCACTATGATTGTTTAATGGCATGTGAATTTACCTCACTAAATTATTTTTCCTTCAACTTCATACTGTTGTATACATTATTTGTGCAACTGTTTGAGACATAGCTATCTTATATAGAACCGTAATAACTTGTTGGCTCTCCCAAAATAAATTTCCACTTTGCATTCTATCAGATTCCCTCTGTTGTTGGAGGTAAGCACTAGCAGGCATCACTCTAATGCAAGGTGTCATAAGTGAGTACAAAACTATGTACTCATTAATAAAATCTAGGGAGTTAAATATATTTTATACAAACTTGTGCTACTCAATTGATTTATCTCATACTACAAATCCATAGTTTTTTGTAAGGTGGATACTTTTGAACCTATACAATGTTCATTAATTTATCTAAAACTTATTTTCTTCTTTGGTAAAATAAAATGGTGTTGAATATTTTAATCTTTGGTTGTTACTTTGGTTATCAGCTGAGTGGATATCTTTGCTTTATTGATGCCTTGGCCTTGTCTCTTTGAAGTGAACAACCTGTAAACTTGTTTCAATTTAAAGATTATAATATTATTATTATAATATTATTATAGTATAATACTCTTTTATTATATATTACACATGTTATATATTATTATAGGATAATATTATTGCTATAATGTTACAGTTATTCCATTATAGTTGTCATAATGTAATATTATAATTCTAATAGTATTACATCAAAATTATAGGTCATAATCAAAATATACAAGTGGTTTCTCTTCAGGTCGTATAAATCTTTCGCCTTTTACAAGTTATCTAAAAAAGTTTCTCTTTTGTGAGTATATGTGCATTCATCTATTTCATCCAGTTTCCTAAAGATTATTAACTCAAGCAAAGTGCCTACATTACCAGTGCTTAAAATTCAGGGAAGATATCCCAGAGGGATTATATCTCATTTATCTTCCATTTAAAAATTAGCAATGTAACAAACTCTATCAAGTAACCAATCAAAATCTATGGGAAAAGGCCTGAATTGTTCCTCTTCACTGAGATACTGTTTTTTTTTTTTCACCAGCACTTGAAATGCTTACTTCATAGAAAGAAGGCTAAGCTTTTAAAATTGCATGGTGCTCTTGCCAAAGATCTGAAGTGATTCCTAGCTCCTACAACATATAGGTTATAAACACCTGTAACTCCAATTTCATGCATTCCAGTGCCCCTTTCTGGCCTCTTTGGACACCCCAATTCACATGAACATACCACCATAAGAATAAAAACTAAATATTTAGATGAACAAATCCATGATGATTTGTGCTGTCAGATAGTGTCTCAAATATGTGTCATTTTTGGCTTAGAAGCAAAAAATTATTCACACTATTAGCAAATTAAAAAAATAATTTCTTTTGTAAGTTTTAATAGTAACAGTAATATACTGTGTATATTAATTGTTTTATTAGATGCATGAATTCCAGGTGAGATACTTGGTTCAGGCAGGGCTCAAGTATCTGATATGAATGTCCGAAGACCTGGCTCAAAACCTACCTCAAGTAACGCAATGTTTCATTAGTAACATGGGTAATAAACAATATTATTTACATTGATATTTTCACCCTGATTATGATATTCTTTGCCACAATGACATATATTAATTCATTTCAGCACTACTTAAATGATGTGTTTATTTGGCTTTGATGACATATCCACAGTTCAAGATAAACCAAAACTTAAAGCAATCCTTTATGAATGTTACTAGTGCTTCATTTTAAAACTCGGGGGAGACCTTGATCTGGAGGAGGTGGGAATGGGGGGTGGGCTGGGGGGAGGGGTGGGCGAGAGGGGGAGAACAGGGGATTCTGTGGCTATTATGTTGAACTGAATGGTGTTGTAAAATAATAATAATAATAATAAAAAAAATAAAATCAAAAAAAAAATTTTTTTTATATCCCTGATGGCCTCAACTATGTGGCAAAGGTCCTGAAGTTCTGATCTTACTGCCATCACATTATAAGTTAGAATTTTTATTCCACAGTCATTTTTTAGCATGTAATTTTTAAACAAATATTGTTTTCTGTATATAAAGAATACAGAATCTATCCATTAAAAATAAATGGGTAGCGGTGGTGGTGCACGCCTTTAATCCCAGCACTCAGGAGGGAGAGCAAGGCGGATCTCTGTGAGTTCGAGGCCAGCCTGGGCTACCAAATGAGTTCCAGGAAAGGCGCAAAGCTACACAGAGAAACCCTGTCTCAAAAAAAAAAAAAAAATGGGTAGTAAAGAAGTACGATCAGGTCATTAATAGGATAAAAGTAACGTAATAGACACTTTCATAGAGAACTGAATCCGTGTATCACGATCAGTCCATCCATTCACTTATATATACATATGCTCTGAATGGTGTATTGAAATTAATTCCTGTAAAATCAATAAACATATTAACTAGTAAACACTAGTGGGCTCTTATGTAAAAATAATACATCAGAGCATTGTATCTGGGTAGAAAATGAGTAGAAGAGTACAATGATATGAATGAGGCCTTAATATCTAAGCAATACATTTTACCTCTTGGGAAACTGAGAAAGATTCACTTTATATCAAGTTACAAATGTGTAAAAGTAACAAAAAAACAAAGAATTAACTTGTAGATAGTAAAACAAAGAGACATATTAACATTGAATGATTTATTGTAATATCCACAATAAATATCCATTTAAATCGTCCTGACAGCTCATATTCTCCTCACTCATAGACTTTAATCCTGTTAGCTCTTTTGTTGCCCTTTCATTGTAAAGCAATACTTCTGTGCTGCTATGTTTAATTATTTTTTAATATATATACACACATATATGAGAGAGTTAGAGAGAGATAGACAGACAGACAAACAGACAGCATATCTTCTACTTTTCCTGTCATGGATATTTATTTCACTATTGTGAGTTATTTGGAAAAACTTTAACAGTATACAAACTCTACAAGACAATATTGCACAGCTTTCCCACTGTTTTCTTAACGGCATCTTTTACATCTTTGTTCCTCAAGCTATAGATTAAGGGATTCAACATAGGGATAACCTGGGTGTAAAAGACAGAAATCACTTTATCAGTGTCAAAGGAGTGAATGGACATTGGCTGCAAATACATAAATATCAAAGTCCCATAGAAGATAATGACTACTGTCAGATGGGACCCACATGTAGAGAAAGCCTTCCTTTTGCCCTCAGCTGAGTTCATCTTGAGAATAGCTGTAAGGATGAATAGATAGGACACAATGACGACCAGAAGAGAAGACAGCAAATTAAAAGCTGACAAGATTAAAACTATCACTTCAATTTCATGTGTGTTTGAGCAGGCCAAGGTTAACAAGGGGAGACCATCACAGTAGAAATGACTGATGACATTGGGACCACAGAAGGACAAAGTGAAAATCTTTATGGTAAGTAGAAGTGATACAATTATACCATAGAGATAGGGAATGGTGACTAGTATCCAACATATTCTTTGTGACATAATGACAGTGTAGAGGAGTGGTTTACAGATGGCAACATACCGGTCATAAGACATTGCAGAGAGAATAAAGAATTCACTAACAATGAATATAATAAAGAAAGACAACTGGATAGCACAAGAATAAAAAGATATTGTATTTTGATCCACAAGAAAATTTCTTAACATTTTGGGTCCCACAGCAGTTGAATAACCAAGATCTGTAGTAGCAAGGTGTCTGAGAAAGAAGTACATGGGTGTTTGCAGCCTGGAATCCACCATGGTGAGAATGATCATGCCCAAGTTGCCAACCAATGAGATCAGGTAGATGATGAGGAACAGTCCAAATAATGGTTCTTTCAGCTCTGGGCGGTCAGTGATGCCCATAAGAATGAAGTCAGTCACCACTGTGAGGTTGTGGGTCTGCATTCTAGCTCATCAGAAAGTCTTTTCTGAATAAAGGCACCAATGTCATCAGCAGTTTCCAAATGTATATAGTGGTTTTATTTGGCAAACTGATATAAATGATATATATAATAAAATATTTGAATATCAGTCCATCTGTACAAAAAAAGATAAATTCATAAGCTCATTTCTTCATTTTTTAATAATTTAATTTGCCAAAAAGAACATAAACTGTCACCTTCATCTCAGGATTATAACAAAACAATGATGGGGCTTATGACAAATTGTCAAATATGTAAACATATATAGCTCAAAATCTTAAAATTAAAAAGCCAATAAACCTTGATGGAAAGACTCATGTGGAGATATAAATGTATTACAGATGTGAAAAGCAAAATAAATTGTTAAAAATTGTAGATTATGGAGTGTCACATACTTGGGTAAAAATTATCTTTTATTTTTGATACAATTATTGTTACATTTATACATTTAAAAATTATATTTTTTATACTACATGATATTTATGCCAATTATACAGACATCTACTGAGAGCTTGCAAAAATTTAGCCAACTCTAATTACATGTGTAGGTATGTAGAATCCTAACATCTATAGATAAAACTGCTAGAGTTATCATAACATTTGTCAGTGTATTTTATATATGTATTAATGAGAAAATTGTAGCACATCACAATATAAATGTCTGTATTTGAAGAAGCAAAATGGCATGGAATATATCTGAGCAATTACTTGCACCTTGACCTAGTATATAGAAGTACTCATTTGGAAAAATAATTTAGGATAAATAGAATACTTTCTCAGCATAAATAAAAGTAAGAGGACTTTGTACTGTTCATTAAAAAGATGAAGGGAGATAAAATATTTCAGGGATTCTGTGCTCCGTGATGACCATTTAGAAACATGATGATCACAGGGACTTCAGTCACTAGTTATAACTTACTCAGTCTCTGAATAAAGGACAATGAAATCAGTTTTTTAAAATCTTGTTTAAAGGTGATTTATTTATATTTCTTCTTTTGCTTGCATAAATATCATGTGGCTTTTAATACAGTGTCTGCTATTCTCTGTGCATCTAGGGATACTTTAATGAAAATATACTTTTCTCATATTAAATATGAAAAAAATCAGACCATTAAAATAGATAAATGTCTCTCCTTTTCTATTAGTTTGATTTACAATGATAAATTAAAACAATAAAATAAATAGAATATCCATTTTCAATCAAGAAAGACAAATACTTGAATCTTATTTCATAAACTAATCTCCTCAATAATTTAGTGTGATATAGCACAAAATATGAAAAATATGTCATTATTCTAAATTTGCTGTTAAGCATCTTCTTCCTCTCCATTTCCCTTAATATAGGAACAGAAATGTTTCCAGGGATATCTCACCTACTGAAAGGTGATTGTTGCCAATCTGGAAGACTTGTTTGGCTCTCTGGAACCCATGTAGTAGGAGAGAACTAATTCTTACAAAATAGAAATGATACCTGTCACCATTTAAAGAAGCAAAAATATGGAGGCCAGCGAGGTTGTAGGTCCTTGAAGAGAATCTACTATGGTAATTTTAAGTGGAAATAGTTTTCAAAGGAACCTTAAAGACTTACACACATAAATAAGTGGATCTTTCAATACTCATTATAGGACCAAATTTTTGCAGTAAATGTTGATTAAAGAGGCCCACAAAAGCTTTGTGGACACAAAAGCAAAGAATAAAAGACTCCAAAATACTCAACACTAAATGTGACATTTACATCATATCCCTTGCTAGCAAGGTTCTGGTATCATCCCAAAAGAGAGTTATTGGTCTGAAGAAATTATAAGCATCAGGGCAGTGTGTTATTATAGCCAAATAGTGTTTTCTAGACACAACAACGTTGTTCTTTTTCATAAAATAAGACTGGCTGTGATTGCATGCAAAAGAGCTATAAGAAATAAAGCCAGACAAAAGTTAGAGTAAGGATAGGGAGGTGGTGAGAAAGTTCCAACCCTAGCTAGGAAGCTATTGATGCTTATTTATTTTTCTTGAGTAATTGAGTCATTACTACCTAAGGATGTACCCCCTGAGGGAATAACCATACCCTGTTGCATGCAGATTTTAAATGCTTATTAAATGTATTCTTTTATCAACACATAATAAACTAACTAGCTTAACATATCAGATTCAATAGTATTTCTGTATTTTATATACATTCATGAATATCCTTACTTTCAAGTCTATTTATTAAGCAGGAAAAATTGCAGACTCTAAAGAACACTGCTATTAGTCTAAATGCAGTTAATCATGTTTGTAGATAATTGTTCTTTGTCTTAATTGCTAGGCATTATTCTGAGTAAAGCAGAGTTTGATAAATATGTGTGACTTGCACACCACAGTCAAGAACTAACACAATTATTAAATAAAATGTCTACCGCAAAACAGCAAGTTATATCTTGAAATTTTAGACTCCAGTACTCCCATCCTAATCATTCATATATACTGCAGTTCACTCTTACCAAAGGAACAGCACATGCAGGTTTGAATACACTGTGAATTGCCCTAATCACCTTACTTATATCCACTTAACCATCAGTGATAAAACCCACAAGAAATGCCCAAGAGGGAGTATGTCTCATTTACCTTCCAGTTAGAAATTAGCAACATGAAAACATGTTGAATGATGGGAAAAGAACATAAACAAAGAGACGCACAAAAATACTTTACAAATAAAGTCTCCTTTGCTGCTGTTCACTGAGAGAAAAATACTTTGAGCACTATTTAAAACATTTTAGATCTTCATGTCAAGAGTTTTTATGATGTTGAATTGTTTTCACACATCATTTTGAGTTTTCTTCCTTTGTGTTCAAACTAATTGGCATGCTTTTAAATTAAATATTTTATCAAGTTTTAGTAGCTAATTACCTGCTTTCTATTTGAATATTGCATTAGTGGACACTGGGATGTTGTTTATCAAAGAATGAGTAAGGCCTTTGCTCATTTTCTAATGGTTATTTATATGGTTATAAACATTATATTTTCATAGGTTTTATTATTAGCCTGGTGATATTTTTTTGCAACAAACACTTTTAAAGTTATTTTTTGGTTCCACTTATCTAATAGTGTATTAGCTTGGTTTTGGTGCCAAACTCACAGAATGATTTTGAAGCAAACAAGCTATTCTTTTATGAATGTTTCTTGGTTTTTATTTCTTTTTTTTTTCAAGTCATCTGATGTAGCACAGATTGTCCACAGACTATTTAACACAAGCTGACATGCAGTCCTCCTGACTCCACATCCCAAATAATTATTGGGATAGCATTTCATCCAATAATCAAAATTTATTATAGATCTTACAAGGAATGTACTTTCTATGTAGAAAGAAAACATTAAATCATCCAGTAAACTGAAATTTAAATAAGGAATTAAGAATATTCCAGTAACAAGACAATGGTAGTATAAGCTGCCATAGAAAATTCAAGACAACTAACATAAACAAACACACACACACAGGCACACACACACACATACACACAGCCTCACTTACACACATATGCTCTGACTTACACAATATTAGAAGATACATTTAATTTATGAACTTTTTAATCATTAATATATGGCACTGATTATTGCTATTGCAATCGTATAGGAAGTGATGTAAAAGAAAATTGATGTGAAGTCAGGATGTAATGTTCTCTGTGGAAAGAAGGTATCTGTTTGCTCTGATATTACTGAGACCTAAATATCAAAGTCATAAACTTTACTTTTCTGACCTGATGATTAAAACTTTTTCAAAACACAGTTTATATAAATGTATATGGATATAAAAATATATCTAAATAGTAAAATATTAACAATGAATTTTCATATAATTAAACGGGTAGATACACATGAACACTAGTAAATTTATTGGAAAGTTCAGTTCACAAAACTAATTTAAATCATCTTAGACACCTGTCTCTTTATCCTCATATAGCAAACCCACTGTTACCGTGTTTAGATTTATATACCTTAAAAAATTTTGTTTGTTCTACTCCATTTTTTCAATTATTTTGTTTATAACATATTTCCTCTTCAGAGAAGCATTGCTCTTTACTGTTTTTCTGTGTAGCTTTGGAGCCTATCCTGGGACACACTTTATAGACCAGGCTAGGCTTTAACTCACAGAGATCTGCCTGCCTCTCTGTCTCTTGAATGCTGAAATTAAAGGCATGTGCCACCGCTGCCCAGCTACTGTCTTCTTCTCTGAAACTTACAAAGCATTTGAATTTATTTGTGGTGAAGTATGGCAACATTCTACAACATGTGGTTTTTGATGATGTTTTGTATTCCTTTCTCTGTCTTTCTAAGAGCGTGTTTTACATCTTTGTTCCTCAAGTTGTAGGTAAAGAGATTCAACATAGGGATGATTAAGTTACAAAAGATGAAAGATACTTTGTCACTATTTAAGGAGTGACTGAATTTAGGTTGCACATACATAGATATCAAAGTCCCATAGAAGACAGTGACCACTGCCAGGTGAGACCCACAGGTGGAAAAAACCTTCTGCTTATGCTCAGCCAAGTTCATCCTGAGAATAGCTTTGAGAATAAGCAGATAGGAGACAAGGATGACTAGAAGAGAGGAAATCAAGTTAATAGCAGATAAAATTAAATTATCATTTCACTTTCCTCTCTATTTGAACAGAGAAGAGATATCAATGGCAGACCACGACAGTAGAAATGACTGATAACAATGTGGCCACAGAAGAGAAAATATTTATGGTGACTATGAGAGCAACAAATATACTGTAAAGATTTGGGGTTGCCACCAGGACCCAACATACTCTCTGTAACATAATGGCATTGCAGAGGAGTGGTTTATAGATGGCCACACAACAGTTATAAGACATTGCAGAAACAATAAAAAATTCACTAACAATGAACATACAATGAAAGACAACTTGGAAGTACAAAAATAAAATGATACTGTATTTTGTTCTATGATAAAACTTCTTAACATTTTGAGTCCCCAGCATCTGAGTAA